TGTGTGTGTGTGTGTGTGTGTGTGTGTGTGTGTGTGTGTGTGTGTGTTGGGGGGTCGTGCACAAACAGCCAATGTTCAAGCTGCAGCTCCTCTGTCCTGATTGTTGATATTCAAGTTTTATGGAGACGCTGCACGTGAGCTATAATCTGAACTTGCCATTGTTGCCATAAAAGCAAGTACACCGTTTGGTGAAGGGAGTGTTAGTGTTGAGACATAACAATGGAATACAAGCAACTTTGTTTGGAGAAACTCTGACACACTTAAAGTGAAGGGCGTTCAGAACAACGTGGAGAGGTACAACAACATAAACTCATATTGTTTGTGCATGCTGAAGAGGAAACAAACAATACTTCAGCTCACAGTTCAGTCTGATGCACAACACAGCGGTCACAGTTTGATCCACTGAAGCTATTTATAGCAAAGTGAAAATAAACTGACGGTACTTTTATTCCCCTGAGAGGCATAAAAGTAGAGCTAACAAGTATTTTAAGTTCAGTTAATACCGTGAAACACAGTTCCATCCTTCACAAGTAAATACGACCACAAAACAACCATGAAATCATTTCTGATGAATTGAGCATGAAGACTTGTGACCTCAAAACAGCCAGCGATGCATTTTAGATGGTTTTTTGCATCCGGTCGAAGCTATTTTCATCATCGCCTTCCCCTGGTTTCATAGTGAAATCTTTTGTCCACTGGAACATTAATAGCACGAATGACCAATGTTTCCGTATCTGTCTCACGGCAGCATGTTAGTCAGGGAGGAAATACTGAGTCACGCTCAGGCAGCAGCTGAGGGGAACTGAGACTTTAGCTGGTGCTGGTGATATGGCCAAAACCTTTAAGCACAATATAAGTCATTTCATATCTTCGTAACGATATATATCACGATATAGCATGTTTTCTGGGGATTTAATGAATACATAAATAGTCTAACCACATCTGTCTGTGCGTTAAATACTTAACAAATGAAAAGTACGAAGTATTTTCTCATTTAATTAAGAACTTAAGTTCAAAATTGTCCGAATTTCTGAGAAATTTGAAATATTTTGCCTTTTCTGATTAATTTAGACAATTCAATCATGTATCATCGCGATATGATTCCATTGAAAGACAACAAACTATCATAACTAATACCCAGCATCAGTAAAATACAATAGAAACTAAATGCAAACATCTATTTTAGTGCAAGCATCAAATGCAAGAAATTTAGAGGGATTTTTTCCTTTTTATTTTAAAAGATGCATTTATCCAACTTAAAAATTAAACCACTTTTATACCACAAACTAACCACTCTGTTAATTAATGAAGTGCACATGTGAGTGTCCATATCTTAAAGAGCAGTTGACAGTGTGGTGATAAAACTACTGTGTGTGTGATTTGTTTAAAATGAATTGTTGAACCTCCAGTGCAGCGTTGTCGTACAGTGATGGTGGATGGCTTGCACTTACATTTGGAGCTTGGCCGGTGTGCTGATTGAACCCAGTGACCACCGTGATGAAGCAGCAGCAGCAGGCTGGATGCAGGAAGCAACTGACACGTCTACTGTACTCTGCTGGTTCCCACAGCTGTGTGTGTGTCTCTCACTAAGATGCTGTTAACACAGTTACACAATATTCCTATCTGATCACGAGCCTGTTTGTATTTGTGCTCTCAGCGCGGCGCGCATTTCATTGTTTTGGTTATTTTTTTCATTCCAGTCCTCATTCCCTCGGATGCACAGTTGCATGCCGTTACGCTCTGCAGCTATTTTGTGTGTGTGTGTGTGTGTGTGTGTGTGTGTGTGTAAGAGAGAGAACTCATGCAAAGGCTTAAGGTTGCGTCTGTGTGCTGCAGTGG